ACGATTCAAACGAGAGTTTTGAGCAGTGTAGAGTAGCGCTTGTTTATCGTTTCTCCGATCACAAACGCAGGCATGGTTTTTTGTTTACGTGTGTGTCATCTGCGTGTGCAACGGTTGCTCCATGTCCGAGTCCATGTCATTATTGTCCTCCTCTTCCGAATCCTCTTCGATTTCATCTGAGTGCAAATCTGCGATCACCGACCGTAAAGGACCCAATACTACAGGTGAATAAGAAAGGTAAATGTCTACAAAAGCATTTCTTTCTTTAGTGTAATATTTCAACATTGAAGTCATAAGATGCATTGCACGCTCACATCCGGTCTTTGCCATAAACGAAAACAAAAGTGAATTGAATGAGACACTTGTTAAGTTAGTAAGTCCATCAGGCTGAGGTGAAACTAGATTTAGTGGAGGCCTCTTTGAACCGTTGCATCTGTAGATTAATTGTTGAGGATCCCACAATTTATGAGGCACCTTTGAACTCGTAGGGCTATATCTCACTACAGAGCCAAGCCTCTCAGAACAATGGGACTGTGATTGATTGGATTCATGGAGGTAGCAGGCGTGTTTTTAAAGGGCCCCCATTTGCTTTTAGAGACACATGCACCATGTTTACTGAAAATACCATTAAAATGTACCCAATCACATCTTGTGCTCTTTTCTGTATGAACAGTTATCCTAGTTAAAGACATGTTTAATCCAAGGTTTCTGTTTTTTATAAAGGTAAATTTAAGACAATTTCTACACCTTTTAAAGTCAAATTAAAGAAAATGTACAGAATAAATTTAAGACAACAGAATATGTATATGTTCTCTAAATGTAAATTTTTATGAAGCCCAATGAGTTGTATTAGCAACACTTAAAAAATAAATAAATAAATAAAACTTCTTACAGATTTCCATTACTTCTTGATTAATGAAAATGGTTTAACTGTGATGGAAATAACTTTTATTGTACCTTCTGATGACATGATGTTCTTCCTTGAATATTTTTGTCTTGTTTTCCAATGTCTAAAGATTCATAAATAAAGATGACATAAGATAAAGACAAGTCTTGTTTTCTGAGAAACTGTTAAAAATGAAGTGAGTTTACGATTAAAACGAGAACAAATATCTGCTGATGGGCTCAGAAAAGTTACTTAATTTAAAGGAAAAACAAGTTTCTATTCACCACTGACAGATATTTGTTCTTGTTTTAAGCATAAACTCACTAAATTGTGACCGTGGACCACAAAACCAGTCTTAAGTGTCAATTTTTCAAAATTGAGATTTATACATCATCTGAAAGCTGAATAAATAAGCTTTCCATTTTATGTATGGTTTGTTAGGATAGGACAATATTTGGCCGAGATACAACTATTTGAAAATCTGGAATCTGAGGCTGCAAAAAAATCTAAATATTGAGAAAATCGCCTTTAAAGTTCAAATGAAGTTCTTAGCAATGCATATTTCTAATCAAAAATTAAGTTTTGATATATTTAGTGTATGAAATTTACTAAATATCTTCATGGAACATGATCTTTACTTAATATCCTAATGATTTTTTGGCATAAAAGAAAGATCTATAATTTTGACCCATACTCTGTATTTTTGGCTATTGCTACAAATATACCCCAGCGACTTAAGACTGGTTTTGTGGTCCAGGGTCAAAATTGTGTTCATTTTCTCAAAATAAGTCATCTATATAAATAAGTCTAAAAGAAAATAAGTCATTATCCATTTCTTCATCAAGGATGTTTAGATATTTGTATTGGAACACAAGACAAAAATACTGAGGAAGATATCCTTTTTTCTTTTCCTTTTCTGATATCCATTTTTTTTAAATGCAAATGTTCTTTCACAGTCATTAGCAACTTACTTTAGCTCTGAAATATTTTTAAGAGCAAAATAAGGAATTGTAAAGAGTGGGTGTTTGGTAGTAAATGCTGCTGGTACGTCAAGTATGAAATTATTAAATTTCTTTGGAATAACTGAAGGTCAATGCACAATAAGACTAGGAGTGTGCAATAAGAAAATAAATATGACCAATTTTGATTTCATGTTCACTTAAACCTTCTCCAAGACTGCCTCTCTTGTGCAACAGTGATAGAGTATGGATGATATATACTTTTCAGCACAGTCTGCAATTAAATATGTCCACCTGCCACTATGAAAAAAATATATAAAAAATGCACTTCCATGCTGCTTTCCGAACAAATACAGGTAATTAAAATCAATAATCATTATTCATATAACATCAACAAAAGAGAAGGTTAGCGTGGTCCTTGCTAAAAAAACACTTTCAAAGAGGGGCTCTTGTGAAAACAGCCTACTCTAACAAAGCAAAATGAATGAAATTATGTTCTTTTAAAATTACATTCAGTATAACAAAGATGTGAGCTGTAAGTGGAGCGAATTGGACTGATTAACTGCAATCCCCAAAGACTTCCCGACCAAATGGAGGTATAATACAAATCAGGCTTATTGTTGCAAATGGGGCCGAGGATAAAAGAGTAAGAAAGTCGCTCTGTTACAATTGCTTTCCTGACTTTCCACTTGGCTGAAGTTTTGAGGTTTAAAGTTACTTTAAAGTCCACTCTGTTTTTCTTCGCTGTACTCACGTTAAGTTTAAATTTGTACTCTAGTTGGATACACATTTTACAAGCTTGCTGAAATTGCATGGGGTGGAGGAACATTTTGAGCACTCAGGAAAAAACCAGCAAGGAAGTTTAATGCAAAACTATTAACCTAATTCTTCTTGGAGAGCGGCCCAAGAGGAAATTTAAAGAAGCTATTAAAGTTAATCTGAATTAATTTGTTTACATTCTTCTCTGATGAGCACTTGGTGAAACTGAATCGGGTCTCTTGAACAAAATGGTCAAGCAGAAGCCATTCAGCTCCTCAGCGAATGGAGAAATTGAGTGTGGGATTTATAACAGGGCTAGTACAGTGATTAATGGTTAAGAAAGGTTTCAGAATACTCTTGGGAAACATTGGCTAACGTTGTCTATTCAGCTGAAACAGGCCAGGAGGATGCAAATTAGATCACTCTGTCCTCTTTCTTGCAATCTTCACTACACTACAGTGAAACCATGGTACACTGACAATGGTACTTCTTAGTGAGGATGAGGTCAGTTTTTTTAATGACAGATGTATTTAGTAATGCTTGCATTACTATTACTCATATTTGGGGTTAGTGGCTTACACAAACCTCAAACTCAAGCATTAAACTTTGATGCTTTTTTTATGGACGTACATTATACTTCAAAAGCTTGGGGTCTTTAAGATTTTTTAAAAAGAAATAAATACTTTTATTCAGCAAGGATGCATTATATTAATCAAAAGTGACTGTAAAGACTATAAATGCTGTTCTATTGAACTTTTTAATTCGTCAAAGAATCCTGGAAAAAAGGATCACAGTTTCCACAAAAAGGAAACTTTTATTGGGAAACACAACTAATTTCAACATGGCTAATAACAGGAAATATTTCATGGGCAGCAAATTAGCATATTAGAATGATTTCTGAAGGATCATGTGACACTTTTACAATATGTAACATTTTACAATATTACTGCTTTACTGTGTTTTTGATCAAATAAATGCATCTTTGGTGAGCATAAGAGACTTCTTTATTGATAACCTCATATTTTGTGGCTTCCTATTACTTTTCTAAGCACTTGGAATAAAAATGTATGTTGTATACGGTGAAATGGGCAAGGGGAAAAAATCCCACAAACTAGCTATGAATGAGAGCCATATTTAGGAATTTGGATATCAGAGAGAATTAGTTAGCAACTACAAATAAACAACCAACAATTATCTAGCAACCATCTACAACATATTAGCATCAGGGCAGTGTGTTATGTTTGAACAAACAACACTCACTCACCTTTGGTAAATGTAGAAATCTAGTTAGAATTTCTAGGTTGTTTTTGTCTTATCGACTTGCTATGCCCTTACTTCAAAATTACGGTTACTGTGCAAAACTACAGTAATTTTCAAACTCTACTTTCCAAACAACGTGTTCAACCCATCTCCTCATACAGCACCTGCCTAAAACTATTCACTGCAGGCATCCTCACGGAGCCTTAAACCTAGAAAAATACTGCAACGAATCGATGGCAGAATATAACAGTGCGCTATAAAACTGTTACGGTTCACTCACTCGACTGGGGGTGACAGTGGTGCTAGTGAGAGTTGCTGGCAGGGGGCAGGTGCTAAAAATCTCCCGTGAAGCGAGTTGACAATAGGGGTTGCCAAAACTCCTGCAAGCAGGGTGGTAAAGACACTTAACTTCAACCCCTCGCCGAGCCTGTGGAAGAGCAAAGTTGTTACTTTGAAGTTCCTTTCCCTTCATTCTCATTGTTTTTTTCCCTTCTTTCTTTTTTCATCAGTCTGCATTTTACTGCCTGTTTGTCCATCTGGGAGCCTGGCTGACATCAAACGCATGGTCAGGGTTCTGCACAGTAAATCAAGCCGCCTTTCTACTATGGGCCCCACCCCTCTTCCCAAACTAGACGCTTGTAAAAGCTCATCTAAGAAGCCCAGCACCCCACAGACAATAAAACTGATGTCATCACTTATGAGGAAAGGTTCGCAGGTCTTTAAGCAAGAAGATAATCTGGAGTGTTTGGGTTCAGACGCCTGAGAACATGAAGAGAGGAAGAGAGCGCCTTGCTGTCACTCAAACTTGAGTAATGGCAGAGCTGTGGCTATGCAGTAAAATGCTACATTACTTTTTTTTTTAGAGCTAATGAAAAAGCAACTTCCATTAACATGGACACGGTTTGCAATTTGCGGTGACATGCAGACCACCAAACTAAAACGATGGGCTAAACCAGAAGAGCTCTGAACACACACACACACATGAATTATTAAACAAGGAAATGTCTGTTAAATGCTGTTACAAGACTAAATGTGGTGCTTCAATGGTGTGGCGTTTACAGACGTGTGTCAGCACCAGTGCTGGGTAGATTACTTGCAAATTGTAGTCTGTTCCTGATTCCAAATTACATGACAAACATTGTAGTTGGTAACGTCAATTACATCGGACTACTTTTTGATTACTTTTAGATTACTTTCGACCCGACATGTTTATCACATGACTTAAATAGGATAACCTTGTATCATATTGACATAAAAATACTTTGACTTTTCTATTTTAGGAAAAAAAATTAAAAGATGAAAAAGAAGAATCAGGGAGAATTAATAAATGACAAATAATGAATGGCTAGTGTGTGAAAAATATGTAATCAATAAATAAGTATCTGTATAGTCTGATTAAAAGTATTTTAAAATGGAATATAATCTAATTACAAGTACTTAGTTTTTGGAATCTGATTACATAATCCAGATTACATGTAATCAGGTACTACTCAGCACATGATATATAGTTGTCATCAAACATTTATATGAATTATGATTGTCAAAAGAATCACTCAAACTCTTTTTCTTAACCAATTATGGACTTAAATGTCAATATGCTCATAATGACTCTTCAAAATTCTCTATTTCGGTAAAATGCTGCAATAAACACAAAAATGAAAGATGAGCTTTACGAGTTCAGCAGAGACAAAGCAGGTGGTCACTAGCAGCACCACACAGCTGGTCTGTGGCTTTACGACCATCGCCTCTGCTGTGGTGCCATAAATCTAGCAGTGGCTCTGAAACTGGCAATTGCTCTGCTTTAGGACTGTTGTCTCATTCCAATCAAGCACATGAAGCTCTTCACTTACAGAGGACGTCATATAAACAGATTTTAGGATTGGGTTACATCCACCCCCCACTAGCCTTTTACTCTGTGTAATATATATGACAACATGCGTTTGGAATTTTGGCAAGTGACTGCAGTCCTTAACTTCCATTACTTAAATTTATCTTGTTAAGTATAGTGTTATTTTAGCATTATTTATATACTATTACAGTATTAATTTTTTGAATTAGCTTTTATTTTTATGTTTTAAACACACACACCAGAAAACTAACAGCAGAACATTAAGTATATTATTCATCTACCTTTAATCAGTCTATCCACTTACGCTTGCTAGTTATGGTCTAAAAGGCTAGAAAAAACCCAAGCAAGACCATAACCATAAATACTATCACAACTAAATGGCATATGTATAATATAAGTGAAGAAAATTCCCTCACTTCCTCAAACATTTATGAAAAACTACCTTATATTTACTATTCAACCATAGTAAGACCCATGGTAAATTCTGAGAAATCTGTTATTTAAGACGCTCAACGGGACACTTACTAAGTAGCAGTTTACAGAATCAACAAGAGACGCTGCTGACAGCAACGATGTTAATTATCCATCAAACTGTCCATTTAGCATTCATTGTCCATTCTGTTTTTTTTAAATAAATCTTAAATAAAAATAAATTATTCACTAATGCTTGTTACAGTTCTGGCCTAGAAAAGTGTCTAGGAAAAAAGCAAAGGCTTTCCTTTGCTGCAATTTTCCTCTTTACTGTCCTTCTAAAGACAGAAACAGACTGTGTGAATGTTAGTGGTAATGTTGATCAGAGCAGGGCAATCAGGGCCTTACAGACCTGGTGACCCAAAGAAAGCAGCACCTGGAATACATCAGCTGTCATAAACACTGAAGTTTCTTTTCTTCCCTTTTTTTAAAGGAGTGAGTTTAAAGGAAAACTCTTAGCTATTCATGGTGTCCTTTCCCATTCTCCTTGGGTGTCATAAAACCATAAATTTCATCTCAGCACTTGCCTTCGAGCCAATAAAACATCCCCCATTTTATGAGCTGCTCTCTTGCTGAAGGTAAATGAACCTTGCCACTGGTGACACAGCTGAAGCTAAAAACATTCTAGATCTATACGAACTACTATAACTACTACTATTACTATCTTCAAAATGATATCAAAACTAAATTCACCGACTAGGCAATTGGCACAATTTTGCACGCTGCCTTGTAACTGGCCCTCCTCATGTCTGACAGTGTTTCAATCCAAAACACACAATCCACAATACGATGAAATGAAACGGGAACAACATCAGTCCTTTTGTTTTGAACAAAACCATAACAAGCTAAATAAGGAGCCTTTGACCAGCTACCAGACTTCCTGTCCTGAAGAGCCGAGAGGTCTAGCAATGGGTGGCACTGATTTCCTGCGCCCAACACAGACAAATGGCCCCCTCAGCTTCTGGACACCCACCAAGTTTATTAGATCCCTTCTCACACCAGACCGCCATTATCACAGCCCTCTAAGAGCCTGTCTCAACCTCTCGGTTTGATATTTACAGAGAACCCCACGTCCCAGAAAAGGTCTCCGCTAATAGTCAACCACATCATTCGAACACAAAAGTACACACCAAAGCCTACTGAAATTCATTGTACTTCCCCATAGGATTGGTGGCACGATAGATTTTTGCCAACTTATACAATGAATATGGATTGAACTAGAGATGCACAATATTAAAATTCAGATAAATACCATTTGGGTGACAATAATCTTCATAAATAATCCATATTAAAATTCCAACATATTTTTTTCTAACTAAATTAAAAAATAAAATAATAATATTCACAATATTATGATATTATAATAATTAATAAATATATGATAATATAAAATATATATAATATATAAATACTGTATATACAATTTCTATTAATGTGCATAAAATTCAATCCCACAAAATATTTTTTATTCACACATCCAAACGAGATCAACTGATTTGGATTAATATTATTAAATCGAATTGTAACCAGTGCCTTAAACAATCATTACAAAGACTTCAATTTGGTTATTTTGCTATTAGCAAACTAACCAATTGAGAAAAAACAGGGACTAATTTTCATGTTGTTATGTTCCAGCATAATGATTCGAAATTCACTCACATCTGATCTTGTGAACGTGTTGTCATCCATGTCCGAGTCATTCGGGTCCAACACATCCTGGAAGGGCGGTAATGCTGACGGCTTTCGTTTCTCTGAATGTTCAATGTTTTGTAACCTACTATGCCGGACTTGCGGCTTGTCTTTCAAAACCTTTTTATCCGAATGGTGATGCTGTAGCAAGGTAGGACACACTTGCTGCTTCTGCGAGCTCTCTGAAAAACTGCTTTTCCGTTTTTTGGTAACATGGCCTTCACTGTCCAACACAGGCCGCCGTTTACTCTGTCCCAAGCTTGAGAAGCTACCCTCCGATGAACATTGCTCCTTCGATGTGGTCTTGGGCTCCTTGAATCCCATTTGGGGAACGGGGCGATCTTCCTGAATTGGTTGATTCTCTTTGGGTTTTTTAGAATCTTTAGAGAGTTTTCCAGAGTCCTTGCTGAAATCTCTGAAGGCACTTTTGGACTCTTTTGAGTCTTTGGAAGGCTTGTCCTTATGGTCCTTAGACGGTTTGTGGAGTTTGAGGGAGCTGCTGCTGATGTTGTTTGTGGTTGTAAGAGCACTGCTGCTTTTGGACCTGTCCTATAATGAAAATATGACAATATTAGGAAAGATATAGCCACTTAATTTTAATTTTATGCTGATTTCATTCATTTATAAACCTTAACAAAAAAGTACTGTGACAGCACCATTTTATAGTGATGATATGATAGTACTTATGAAGGTTTGGACCAGTATTTATTTATTATTTTTTTAAGAAATTGACTTCCATTTAGCAAGGACATTAATTTAACCAAAAATGACAGTAAAGAAATTTATACTTTTACAAAAGATTTCTAATTCAAATAATTTCTGTTCTTTTGAACTTTCTATTCAACAAATGTTTCCACAAAAACATTAAGCAGCACAGCCATTTTTAACTGTTTTAAGAAATGTTTGTTGAGCTCCAAATCAGCACATTAGAATTATTTCTGAAGGATCATGTGATACTGAAGACTGGAGTAATGATGCTGAAAATTCAGCTTAATTCAGAATAAATTACATTCTACATTATATTAAAATATAAAAGTTATTTTAAATTGTAATAATATTTCACCATTTTACAGTTTTAACTATTTTTTAATCAATAAATGCAGCCTTGATTAGACATTAAAAGATTTTAAACGAACATTAAAAAGTCTTACCGACCCCAAACCTTTGAATGGTAGTATACACCACAGCATTAATGCCATATTCATATACCATAGTATTTACATGGTCAAAACCCCATTGCTATACATTTTGTTAATATAATGAAGAACAATACATAAATTGCTATAAATATTCAAATATTAAACTTTCCTTCCATTATAATTGACAAATGATGTGTGTGCTCAGGCAAACAACCAAACCCAGATGTGAAACATTTCCATAAACAATTTTTCAGATTGATCCTGAAAATAATTCCACTGGGGGAAGGGCAACCTCAGAGCTATCTGGGAGGCAAGCCTTTGGTTGACATTAATGACAGGCTTATCCTATCTTCAGGTCAAGCTAACTAGCCCCTGTCAATAAGTCATTGATGCAGTTAAGTCGTTAAGAGGTCTAGACAGTTACAACCTGCCCAGACTACCTTTAAACCCATCTTTTATTGTTATATGTGATACAGAAATGGACAAAACCTTTTTTTTCCTGTTTGAAACCGTTTAAACACACTGAAAGCAAAGGTGAAACTGTTTTAATTGGCTTTAAAACTACATAAAAAGTTATTTTAAATGGTCTAGAAGACAGCGATGTTCATGTCAAATGAATTTAGACTTGATTAAGTTTATGGATAGTCTTGTTACATTTACAATAAGTTATAATCAACATGGTACAATACATTTTGGCAGCACACAAAGAGGCCGAAACATCTCTTTTCTATATTTAAAAACTGAATTACCATCATCATAATGTTCAGTGCTATTAGAGCTTATTGCAACTAGTGCATTTTGTTAACGCCAAAACGCATAGAATATTTCTCTAAGAAAACTCCAGTTTTGCATTTTTCAATGTCACAACAGACTTTTCCAGGAACCATTATGGTTGGCAATCAATCAACCTTCAAAATTTTCAACCATAACATTAAATTAAGTGGAGGAAGGGGAGAAGGACAACAAAGCACGGACTGTCGTTTTTGTTTTTGCTAAAGCGACCGGTGTAGTACTGCTGGGGAGGCTGGCTGCGATCGACCCTTGATCTGTCAGTAATCCATCACACGCAAGGGCCTGTTTGGATTGGGAACTGTTTCCATGTGCACCGGGGACTCTCGTAACTTCACTGTAAGAGCTAGCGTACAAAACAAGCTGCTTAGCAGCTAAGTCATATTGCACAGGATACTTGAAATAAATTTAAATCAAAGAAACGTGGCATTGTGGAGTCAAGCAAGATTTACTAGCATTATGGCTCATGTGGTTTAATAGATGCACGAATAAAAAGCTGCAGCGTCTCAGGTTTTCCCGTACAAAACCAATAGAAATTGCACAAATTTATTTGTTTCTTTTAAAAATTATTGTTTTCTTTATTTGAAATGTCATTACAGGCTGATTAACAAGAGTGCTTTGGAAAATTGCAAATGCGGTATTGTATGACTAGATACGAATCTTTTCGCACATGCAGAGCGCCGTTGTAACACCTGGCGAGTTCGTTTACGTCATCGGAATGCTAGCATGTGCTTTCTCAGCAGCCAAGAAATGCTCGACTTAAGCCAAGTTTCACATCTCTAAAATCCTTGGAGTTAAATAGTCCCTAACGTCTTTCAACTTGCCAAATATGCAGGATTAAGTGGGACTCCTTGGAGGAACTGGGAAATTTTTAAATGCCGAACAAAGTCATGCAAAGTTTTCTCAAAGTTCAGACTCTCAAACACGGAGATCCACACTCACCTTTGACCCTGGGAAAGACTTGCTCTTTTTCACATCAGAGAAGGTCAATGTTAATGAGCTGCTGGGTAATGTGGGCAGCTTTAGATGCTGCCCGAACAGAGAAGTAGAGCCCTCCTGCATTACCATTACCTAAGAAATGAAAGAATGAAATGCATATTGTAACTGCATTCCAAAATGTTATTTACTGCAAATCTTCATCTCAGTTTAATTCATAACTTTCAATTTCTTGATAACATAATATATACTACCATCCAAAATTTTCGGCTCAAGAGTAAGATTTTAATGAAAGAAATTAATTTTATTTAGCAAGGACACATTAAACTGATCAAAAGTGACAGTAAAATAATTTCAAATAAAGGCTTTTTAAAGGTTTTTTTCAACTTGAAAATTTAGCTTTGCCATCACAGGAATAAATTACATTTTAAAATTTACTAAAAATGAAAAGAGTTATTTTAAATGGTAAAATATTTCACAATATAACACTTTTTTTTTTTTTTTACTGTGTTTGTGATTTAAAAAAAAAAAGCATAATTAGAGACTTATTTGATTTTTATTTATTTATTTATTTATTTTAAATCTGTACAAACCCCAAGCTTTCAAATGTTATCATATGCTAGAATCAGTTTTTCACACAAAGCAAGGAAAAGGAAAGTTGTTTCAGATGCAAAGCCAGTTATTGTATTTTGAAGATTACGACAATAGCTTTTTTAGGTTATTTAAAGTAACATGTGCAAGTGAATTGTTCACAATATGGTATGAAAATAGGGTAAACTTCTAAATAATAAAAAAAACACTGTTGAAGTTCTGTTAAATACACTGAAACATTGAAAATGGAGTTTGTCCTTACTTTACAGTCCTCTGAAGATCTTTTGTGAGGATCCCGTTGCTGTAAACGATAAAGTACAGATATTAGAGTGTAAAAAAATAGACTATGAATCAACAAAATCCACCACAGACACACAAACTCTCTCTCTCTCTCATGTACACACACACAAAAACTCTTAACACATTTCGGCAAAAAAAAAAAACACTCCTGGCCTGATTGGAAAGGACCTTCCTCAGTCACCACCTCGCTAAATTGATTTTGCTGTAGCGAACGGTTCTTTCTTAATTAAAACAACTTCCCGTACAACTACCCATTTGCCAATAAACTGTTTCAATTCCTGCCATGCCTCATCTGTAAGTCAGACAAGCACCAAAGGAGATGGTGTCATAGCCCCAGCCGTAAAACATTTGAATTACTGGAATGAGGCAAGAGAGGGCAAGCTAAAACTACAGAGAAGGCCCTCACAAGAATAATAATTTCTTAGGGTGAAAGCATCCCAGTTCATGACTGCTGGTGGAACTTCAAAATGCATCCAAGATCAACGAAACGAACAAACCAGTTGATTCATAAAAAGCGTGTGGATCTCTTTGGCATGGGCGCAAAAACAATTTAGGCTTCCTCTAGTGATAGATGGTCGAGTTAAGACTAGCCCAATCAAATCCTGTAAAGTTACTTATTGTCTTGGTTGATGGGAACAGTAATTCCATTAGGGGAAGCCACGGCCATCCCCAGTCCATTCGTACCCCTCCCGCCTTGAGCAGCTTCCTGCGGAACTCTTCAGTAGGGTTGTTGAACGTGAGCTTTTCACAGCGGAGATGATTGACAGGTGGGTGACCCTCCAAGTGCAGGAACAAATCGTAGTCAAAGCGCACTTTTTTTGGTTCCTCCTGGTTAAAAGTGACAAGAATGTTACATTTACCCAGTGTACACAGCTGTTTGGATTGGTTTAAACTTAGGTAACAGATCAAATACACTTGTTTATAGAAATCATAATTGACAATTACATGTTTCCACAAATAACAGGAAAAACCAACGTACCTTATTTTTAAAGTAAACTTCAATAGGCAAGATAAATCCAGCGTATCCAGACTCTTCGACTTTATATGGTGGATCCTTGCACACTGCAAGAGAGAGAAAGAGAGACTGTTGGTTTCATTTTAGCAGGAAAATCAATACTTAAAGTAATAAGGCACAAAAAGGTGTGCTATATTGTGAATATAATCATAGCTATAGGGTGCTGTTAGGTACAACATGCAGCAACGTGCCTGCAACCCCTTTAGCTATAAGATTCCCAACATAGCACAGCCTTGACTGTCTTTTGTAAAGTGGGTATTACATAAAAATATAAGATAGACAAATTTTCATTATGTTTTATTAAGCAAATACATTAAAGGGGTCATATGATGCGATTTCAAGTTTTCCTCTCTCTTTAGAGTGTTACAAGCTGTTCGTGAATAGATAAGATCCCTAAAGTTGCGAAGACTAAAGTCTCAAACCCAAAGAGATATTCTTTATAAAAGTTATCGTTCAAACACGCCCCCACATGTCTACGTCACTGTGTGGGAAGATTTACATTACACCGCCTAAATGTATATGCAAAGAAAGGCGGCGTAACTTTGATTCTCGCTGTAGTATTGTTGCCGCTGCCGCCACCATGTCGTGGAGACGCTGTGTGTTTCGTTGCGAAAGTGAAACTACTTTGTTTGGCCTTCCAAAAGAGGACACAACTAGAAATCAGTGGTTAAGTTGTATTTACAACACTGTTCCAGAACAGTTCAAACCAAATATTCAAATAAATAAATGTATGCAATGCATTTTACGGAGGACGAGGACTGTTTCCTGGGAGAGTAGCCTACAATGCCGGTGTTCCGGTGAATTCAGTTCCCCTGTTTCCCCTTTGATGCGCATGCTGACCCTATGATGCTGACAAATAATGCTGACTCAGTCTGTAAGTATGTTTTCATATTTAAAGGATTTGCCACTGACGATTCAAACTCGAGTTTTGAGCAGTGTAGTGTAGTGCTTGTTTGTCATTTCTCCGATCACAAATGCAGACATGGTTTTATGTTTACGCGGCGCGATGCAACGCAGCGCATAAAAAGACAGTATAAGTCATTATAATCAGTAATTATGTCCCCACTGGATGCAACAAATGCCTCATTTATAATGGGTTTTATTGGTTTTGTCTAATCGCTCCGGGACACGGCATCACAATATGGTAAGGGGCGTAACATTTCCGTCACATGCTTGAGGTATTCGGCCAATCACAACGCACTGGATAGCAGGCCAATCAGAGCACACCTCGCTTTTCAGACCGATGAGCTTTGTAAAAATCGACGCGTTTCAGAAAGGCGGGACATAGAGGAGAAACAATAATGTACAGTATGTGGAAAATAATGTGTTTTTTTTTTAAACCGCATAAACATCATATGACCCCTTTAAAAGGAAATAATAATGACCTTAACTTGATCACAATTTTTTTGTGGATTTCATTAGATGAGCAGTAGCTATCAGACAAGACACTGACATTTTACTTTATCATATTGCTATAAAAAGCAGTGGGAGGTTATATAGCCTACTCAAATTAAGCACCATTATTATTCAAGCAACATTATATGAGTCAAACAGGCATTTATCTTGACCTGGGGAGAATGAGCATCACTGGAGACATGGTCAGGTTTAAAGCAAAATATGTAATAATATTTAATTTTAAAGAAATCTCTTATGCTCACAAATGCAGCATTTATTGGATCTAAAATACAGTAAAACAGTAATATAATTACGGTTTAAATTAACCGTTTTCTGTAATGCATTTTTGCTAAATAAAAGTATCAATTCCTTTCCAAAAAATTATAAAGAAGCAGGTTTAAAACAATTGTCTGTATACAAATGAAACCTTTGTGAACAATAACCTTCATTGCAAGTAAAAATATACATTGAAACATTGCAATAAACTCCTCATCCCAACCATGTCTCAGGGAGGCCTTCTAAAAAGGTTTATAGCCTCTCCCGGGAACTTATTAGTGTTTAGACTTGCCGTTTAAATGACCTGGAACGTGTGACACATCTTCCCTGATTAACTGCATTATTTATATGTCGTTATGGCCAAATCCTTTGCGCAACATAAAAGCAATGGGCTTCCATCTTGTTATTTTAATTTATGGCCTTCATCAAGAGACGCTACTTATAAAAAATAAACTGCTCTAAAGCACATTTGGTTTTGCTTACACAAATCATTCATCATCATCTTTCAAAACACTAAACCTCCTCAGTGAATAAATTATCTGCACCAACACTTTTGTTTTACAGCGATGCCTTGCTATTCATCAGACACATCTCAGCCTTTTTCTCTCTCTCTTCTACACACACACACCCACTTTTCAAGTTACAAAAGACAAAACATCAGCCTTGGTCCCAATGAGACATTTCAGGATAAACACCCAGTAGTTTAGGTCAGGTGACGCCCCATGGGAACACTTGTTTGTCTCGCTCTCCAAATCCCAAAAGAGCTTCTTATCAGCATCACCAATTAGTCAACATGTACTGTTGAGTGTGAATGGATACAAGGACACCTGCAGACAACCTCAAATAAAAAAAGGAACTTGTTCTTTCCTTACGTTTAATGAAACACTCAATATTATGTCAAATTAGGCCATAAACCACCTAACTAGTCAGTTTTTCTTTGACGATTAACCTCAATCTAAGATCAAAAGTGTTGCATGGTAGTCCATACAGATATTGACTTAAAATGTAGCCTTGAAAAGTCTTTTTCAATGAACATGTAAATACAGGACTCATTCAAACTGCCATTAAAAACTCAAGTTGCTCTTGTAACACGCTCCTACTGACAAAGCACAGTCACAATCGGCATGCTAAGGTTTGAGGAGGCCCTTCCCTCCTCACACTGTGTGACCCCCAGGGTTGGGAGGGCTACTTTTAAAATGTATACGGTCACAAATTACTTCATTAAAAAAGTATTCGGTAACATAATCCAAGTACCACAATATAAAAGTAATGTAATCTGATTACTTTTGGATTACTTCAAGTTACATATGTAAATAAGTCATGAGTAATAGTAAGTAATAGTTAAGCCTGCATTTCAGGCCGGGCCCTGACTTTTTTACGCCCCTAGGGCCGGGCTTTGGGCCAATTTTCACATCATAGTTCAGACACGGGACAGGCCTTATTTTTATATTATAGACATCCATCAACTAGTGATGAAAAAAAAATTGCCGCGGTGGTGGAAACAACACGAGACCGTGCTACTGCAACTGTCAAGAGTGGCTCGACGGTGTTTAGCGTCCAGCAGCAGCAGCAGAGCGAGCGTGCCGTCAGTGCAGCTGAAGAGTTCTGCGTTCAAATGCACGACATAGGCAAGAAGCTTGCCGCAAAGCCCCAGCAAAAGTAATTACCATGAATGTGTCAGGGGGAAATAGTAAGGAGATATTTGAATTATTTACTAACAAACTAGTGTTTTCTGAGTCGGTGTCGCAAGGATGAAGTTGTCAATCCTGACTCGCCATCTCCACATTAGGCGCGCCTTTAGAGAGAAGTGCATCTTTACGGATTATGATTATAATGAAAGAGTTTTTGTTTTTGATTTGTTTTATTTCGTTAAGTAGTTTTAAAAGTTTAAATTTTTTATTTAAATTTAAAGTATTTCATACCCTGTAAAATCCAATAGTTTACCTTACTTAGATTTAACTAGCTATCTTTACTTAGTTGTTATACTTACTAGGTTTTATTAAGTTACAGCTACTTTCAAGGCAAATAAAACAATTTACTTACTGTTTTGAGTGACTCTTACTTAAAATATTCAAGTAGCCACAATGGAACCAATGACATTAATAAACCAGTGAGAGGCAGCAGTGCACTAATATGTTGCTAATGTGCAACATAACAACAGAAGAAGAAGAAAAGAAAAAGAGTTTTAATAGACTTTTCACTAATTTCCTCCATGTCTGCAGTTATCTTTCACTAGTTGCATTCACTCATTTCCTAAAGTCATCTTGAATGTTGAATTTTCAATACAACTGAAATATTTGAGAGAACATCACATAAGCTAACTTTATAAATTGATGTTGATTTTCCTAAAAATTTTTTTTATTTTTTTAACTTGCCATTATAGTGATTAGCATTCCCTTTGGTTGAGCACTTGGAACTTAATTTATGTTACTATAATTTTTTTCCTGTTAATGCAGCAATGCATCATGCTTTTAGATAATTAAAGCACTAGTGTATTTTTTTCGTGTGTTTATTGATAAGCTTTTTCATTTTTCAAATATCTTGCTTTTAATTGGGTTTGTAATATGTAGAAGTCACACACAGACTTAAACATTCAGAACGTGAATCACAACAATGGTAACAACTCAATTTCATTTATTTTCATTAATTATAACAATAATAATTTTATTTGCCCTTTTTGTTGTGCTACTACTGACACAAGACAGCAAATAAAATCAACAACTGTAAAACAAAGCAACTGCATAATTCATTCATGCCGCAATGCACTCTGGGAGTCAGTGAGTAGCTATAAGTCATGAGGAAATCTAAATGAAAGGATCAAGTACCCCCTACAGTTCTTTTTTTAGTTACTAGAACTCTCGTGTAAGTAAACTATACTAACTAAGCATTTGTCAGTACAACATACTATTCCTATTTCACTTTACTTCTTTTTTCAAGCCAATCGGTTTGCATGCTTTTTTTAAGTAAGCCCAACTAATTGGATTTTACAGTTTAGATATATTTATCATGTCTGTGAGGCATCTATTCACTGAGTTTCAGTTCATTTTTGTGAAGCGCTCCTGTTCAAGACGAGATGGCAGAAAGCGCATCGTGTTTGTTTTCTTTATTTTATAAAAGCACAACGTTCTGTTGATATTGTGAGTGCACACAAAGTACATATGTATTACTCGAGTCTTACCTTTATGTGCAAAAATGACGGCGTATCCACTGAAAAAAATGCAAGCGATCACGCTGGCGCCTCCATGTCCTGCAAAGCGCGCTTTAGCTTTCACTCTCCGCACAAACTATTGGATATAGGCCTTGTGCACATTCATCTAGGTTTAACGTTTAAACATTGTTATATGCTTGAACTGTTTTATATCTATAGATTTTATTT